AACTCCTCATGTACATTGTTTCCATGAATTTGCCTTTTCTGGATATTTCTTATAAGTGGAATCCTACAGAATGTGACCTTTTGTATTTGGTTGCTTGCACATAGCATGCTGTTTTCAAGGACCTACCTACGATGCAGCACGTATCAGGATTTTACCCCTTTTATGGCCGAATAATATTCCATTGCATGAGTTTATCACATTTTATCCATTCATCAGCTAATGGGCATTTGGATGTTTCCCACTTTTTAGTTATGATGAATAATGCCGCTTTTAGTATTTGTGGACAAGTTTTCCGTGGACATGGCTTTTCATTTCATTTCATTTCCGTGGACATGGCGTGTATACCTAGACTGGAATTGCTGGGCCAAAGAGTTACTTCTATGTGTAACCTTGTGAGGTACTACCAAACTGTTATCTGAGGTGGCTGCAGCATTTTACAATCCTGTCAGCATTGTGTGAGCTTTCCAATTTGACTGCATCCTTGCCAACATTTGTTTTTGTGGGTTTTTTTTTTGGGGGGGGGTTGCTAGCACTTGTTAATTGTCTGTGTTTTTTATTATAGCCGCCTTAGTGGGGGTAAAGTAGTATCTCCTTGGGGGATTGGAAGTTTTTTTGTTTTTTGTTTTTGAGAGAGCACTTGTGTGCTGCTCTGAAAAATAAAACTTTTTCTGTAAAGGGCCACACAGAGGAGGGGCAGAGGGAGAGGGAGGGAGAGAATGCCAAGCAGGCTCGAGCTTAGCATGAAACCCCACAGGGGCCCTGAGATCACGACCTGAGCTGAAATCAAGAGTCAGAAGCTTGACTGAGCCACCCAGACACCCCTCGTTGTGGTTTTGATTTGCATTTCTCTAATGACTAATGATGTGGAGCATCTTTTTTTTCTTTATTTACTTATTTTGAGAAAGAGAGAGAGAGAGAGCAGAGGAGGCACAGAGAGAGAGGGAGAGAGAATTCCAAGCAGGCTCTGTGCTATCAGTGCAGAGATCATAACTGAGCTAAAATCAAAAGTCAGACATTTAACCGACTGAGCCACCCAGGCTCCCCTATGCTGAATATTTCTTCATGGGCCTTTGACCATTTCTGTATCTTCTTTCGAGGAATGTTCTATTCAAATACTTTGAATTTTTTTTTATTTTCAGAAAACTGCCAAACAGGTCAAATAGTGACAGTTCTCTGGGGAGAGACTCTTTTGGAAACCTTCAAACTTTTTCAGCCCTTCCTAATGGAAGTGAGGCTGCTGGTATTCCTAGTGACAACATTTGCAAGGCTGTTGGTTTTCAAAGCTTCCCTGAAGCTGGGGCATAGAAGATGGGAATAGGGCACTTTAATATTTTTTTTATTATTTCTAGGAGAGAGAGAGAGAGAGAGACAGCGTGAGCAGGGGAGGGTCAGAGAGAGAGGGAGACACAGACTGAAACAGGCTCCAGGCTCTGAGCTGGCAGTCAGCACAGAGCCCAACACAGGGCTCGAACCCACGAACTGTGAGATCAAGACCTAAGGGAAAGTCGGATGCCTAACCGACTAAGCCACCCAGGCGGGGAATAGGGCACTTTAAAATGCCCAGCATTCACTGTGCGTGCCGGGATTAGCTGGTCCTCTTGAATTAATTCTCCTTAGATCATTGCAAGTCTTTGGTTAATTTTACAGAGTTCTGGGAAAGTTAATTTGGACAATTTTTGGCCAATTTTGGCCAATGTCCCCATTGCTTTTATAAAGGAGAAGTTTCTCAGAGACCCTTATTTGGCTGTTTCCAAAGAACTTCCCCCCATCCCTCACCCCGGGTCTTAATTTAAACAACTAAGTTTGTGCTAATTTATGTAGCAATAGAAACTAATCCCTGAGTCAAGGCTAAGGACACACCCGGACCACAGAGCTAGGGTCGGTTTCTAATACGGCAAGAGTTATTGTGACTCTCTGGGCTGGCCTCCGATTTCCCTATTTTGTGGTTTCTTCTTTAGATCTTTCTTTTTCCTTTGTGCTTCAGCAGACCCTCCACTCCAATCCAGGAAGAGAAAACCTGAGGCAAGAATTTTTTTCGTGGTTTAGGAATCTCTTTCCATGATGCCTGCTTTTCAGAGTGGCAAGCAGCTGGTTTATTCATTCGGCAAACATGCTTGTGCAGTGGCCAGGATGACCAACTGTCCTACTTTCCCTAGGATGTTCAGATTTCTTGCACTGCCCATGCTTCATTCCAGAAAATAACCAGTCCCTGGAAAACTGAAATGGTTGTAAACCCTACAGTTGCTCAGGCCTGTGGTCTAAGGCGAGGGTCAGGAAACTTCTTCCATAAAAGGCCACACAGAAGGATGTGAGGCTCTGCCGTCCAGATGGCCCCCCATGCAGCTATTCAATTTGGTGTTTGTAGCACAAAAACAGCCCTAGCCAACGTGTAAACAAAAAGACATGGCTAGGTTTTGATAAAACTTTATTTTAAAAAGAGATGGCGACACAAGAAAATCTACATGTGGCCAATACACAGAGGGGAAATGGCCCAACTTCACTACCCATCGGGGAAATAAAAAATCAAATACACATCAAAGCCACAGTGAGGTAATCACTTCACACCCCCTAGGATGGCTACAGTCAAAAAGACAGGCAATAGCAAGTGGTGACAAGGACAGGGAGCCACTTTGGAAACTAGTTCGGTAGCACCTCAAGAGGTCATAAAGTTACCATTTAACTCGGCAATGCCAGCCCTAGGTATGCATCCCAGAGAAGTGAAAACCTGTGTGCACAGAGCACTTGTGCACAAATATCACTAGCAACCCAAGACAGGAATTGCTAAGCCAGATGGTATGGCTCTTTCCACAGCCCAGTGTCGTCTCCACTCCCTCAGGGGCAGGTTAGCGCCCAGCCGAAAACACCAAGATCTCTGAAGCTCTCTGGGGCTCTGCTTATTTACTTCCCTCGTCTCCAACTTACAGCCACATCGGCACTTCCAAATCCCTGTCGCTGGGGGCGCTTGGGTCGCTCAGTTGGTTAAGTGCCAGGCTTCAGCTAAAGTCATGATCTCCGGGCGTGATCTCACAGTTCGTGAGTTCGAGCCCCCCTGTCGGGCTCCGTGCTGACAGCTGGGAGCCTGGAGCCTGCTTCAGATTCTGTGTCTCCCTCTCTCTCTGCCCCTTCCCTGCTCCTTTGTTCTCTCTCTCCCAAATATAAATAAACATTAAAAAAAAAAAATTCCTGTCCTTGTATCTGGCACAGAGACCACAGACCAGCGCTGTCCGCGGGGCCCAGGGTCATCCATCATTAAGTCATACATTCTACCTGCTTTTTCTCCGTTGCTTGTGGCGGGAGGGATCAGTTCAATCCGTCATCCCACCCTGACTGGGAGGGGAGTTCTGTCTGCTTGCACTTGCACTTGGCAGAAATGGATCCAGACAGCAGGCCTCCTCTCCTCTCCGGCCCCTTTGCACTCTGTCTGCAGCGCCGGCCGTAGTGGTGCAGGCGGCGCTCGCTCCATCATTGCCGTGGCTGTTTTGTATTTACACCTATTTATTGATTTCTTGCCATGCGTGCCAGGAACCGCGCCAGGTTCTAAGGACACAGGTTTTATCGTGGCAAATATAGTTCCCGCTCTCGAGGGGTGTATAGTCTCGCGCCGGATCCCACAAGCCATAGCCCCTCGGCAAACCCAGCCTGCTGCCCGTTTGTTCAATAAAATTGTATTGGACACAATCACACCCAACCATTTATACATTTTCTAAGGCTGCCTTCGTGCTACCTCGTGACAAGAGCTGAGTCCTCGTGAGAGAAACCACGTGCTAGACCCCATGCCGAAGATGTTTACTAGCTGGCTCTTTCTAGGAAAAAAAAAAAAAAAAAGATGTGCTGATCCCCTATCTAGTGGATAATACTAGTAGCTTCTTACTGTAACACACTACAAGCGTGGACACCGAGGCTCAGAGAGGCTAAAGGACCTACTTAACCTTACCCAGGTCTGTCCAGGGGCGTGCTAGTAAGTGTTTAACAACTGGCCGTCTGAAAAAAGAAAAAGAAGTATGTGTATTATACATTGTACTTTTATCATAAATTATAAAGAGACAGGACGCCTGGGTGACTCAGTTGAGAGTTCCAACTCTTGATTTGAGTTCAGGTTTGTGAGTTTGAGCCCCCACATCAGGCTCTGCACTTACAGTGCGAAGCAGGCTTGGGATCCTCTCTCCCCCCTCTCTCTCTGCCCCTCCCCCACTTGCACTCTCTCTCAAAATACACTTAAAAGGGGGGCACCTGGGTGGCTCAGTAAGTTGGGCATCTGGCTTCCGCTCAGGTCATGATCTCACCGTCCTTCTGTGGGTTTGAGCCCCACGTCAGTCTCTATGCTGACTGCTCAGACCCTGAAGCTTGTTTCAGATTCTGCATCTCCCTGTCTTTCTGCCCCTCCCCCACTCACACTGTCTCTCTCTCAAAAATAAACATTAAAAAAAATTTTTTAAGTAAAAGTAAAAAAATAAAAGAAAAAATTTTTAAATAAGTGATGGGGCACCTGGATGGCTCAGTCAGTTAAGCGTCGGACTTCAGTTCAGGTCATATTCTCACGGTTAGTGGGTTCAAGCCCCGCATCAGGTTCTGTGCTGACAGCTCAGAGCCTGGAGCCTGTTTCAGATTCTGTGTCTCCCTCTCTCTCTGCCCCACCCCCACTGGTGCTCTCTCTCTGTCTCAAAAATAAATAAAACAAACCAAAAAAAAGTGAAAAAGAGTATACCACATTTTACAAATAATGATATGTATATATTTTTTAACAGCATTACACAAGCTCTGCGTAATGTACTCTGTGTAAATACTAAAAACTCTTACCAGTTGCCTGAGTCTGAGGTAGAAGGAGTGGAGAATAGCGTTAATGTGTATGGGGTGGCTTTTGGAGCCATTATAAATGTTCTCATATTACATTGTGGTGATGGTGGCACAGCTCTGTCCTAAAAGCACCCCTGAGCTCAAGAGCTTTATTTAGGCAGTCTGCTTAGTGTCTCCGTGGACTGGCCCCTTCTGGACATTTGGCACAAATGACATCTAACAATATGTGAGCTTTTGTAACTAACAATACTTTTTCTTGTGAAATTCACATGGAGCAACTGATTCTCACACAACGCTTTCCTTGATTTTGCTGAACTTTTATGCCCAGACACAGCCAGCGGTTGCAGTCGATGATCTGGCTGTAGTTCCAACGTGGAAATGATATTGTCATTTCTATTCAAGAGTAAAGAGAGAAACAAGGACGTACGTCAGAACTTCATTCGTCAATGACACGGGCAACTTCTGTGCTGAACGGCAGGACAGGTTTTGAATACTGAAGGGATGTTTTCTCAGTACTTTATGCCTTTCAAAATGCAACAGCCATGAGCCGGCCCTCTTTTAAGTTTCATCTTATTAGCATTTTCCTCATCACTTTTTAAGTCCAGACCAGAGATGAGCAAACTTTTGTTAAAGGGACATGCAGTAAATATTTTAAGCTTGTGAGCTGTGTGCTTTCTCTTGCAACTACTCAACGCTACCATTGTCACCTGGAAGTGACCATATAGATAATGTGTATATTAAATGGGTGGGCCTGGGGGCGCCTGGATGGCTCAGTCGGTTAAGCGTCTGACTTTGGCTCATGATCCCATGGTTCATGGGTTCAAGCCCTACATTGGGCTCTGGGCTGACAGCTCAGAGCCTGGAGCCTGCTTCAGATTCTGTGTCTCCCTCTCTTTCTGCCCCTCCCCTGCTCACACTGTGTCTCTGTCTCTTTCTCAAAAAATGAATAAACATTAATGAAAACTAAATGATCAGGTCTATTCCACAAAGACTTAATTTACAAAAACAGATTGCAGGCCCACAGTCCATAGTTTGCCAGCCTCTGGGTCTAGACAACCAAGAATATCAATAAAAGACCTGATTTAAAATATTTTTATGGGGGGGGAGGCAGGGACAGAGGGAAAGACACAAAATCTTAAGCAGGCTCCACCCTCAGCACAGTACAGGATGTGGAGCTCAATCCCATGATCCGGGGATCATGACCTGAGCCAAAAATCAAGAGTCGGATGCTCAAGTGACTGAGCCACTCAGATGCCCCAGAAGACCTGCTTTATACTATTTGCTAATCCCACCAGAATTTCAAGCTACTGATATACCATCAGTGAATGCGAAGTTAGGAAGACACGCACAGTGGGAGAGTGGCACAGTACTCTCTTAATAAAAGGAGAGAGATTCATGAAGTATTGAAAGCATAGTACTTAAAATAGAGATCTGTAGAATATATGAGGCATTTTAATGCACTGTCTTCCTGCATGATTACTAATGTTCTTTGTTCTGGCCATTTTCTCTAAAGAGAAATTATAAAGCAAAGGAAAATTTCATATTTCTACATCAGACTAATAAATGCTTTGGTTATAGAATACAATTAACTTTTTAAGTGGCTTAAGCTCTTGTATTTTCTTATGAAATGACAATTCTTGAATAGAATGGCCTCAGTAGATCTCAAACATGCAAGGAAAGCAAGTTTCTAACAGTCACGTGAACAAGCCTTCCCCCCAGCACCTGATTCTTTGCTGCTATCTAAAGGGAACGATTGAGGGGCGCCTGGGTGGCTCAGTCAAACTTCTGACTTTGGCTCAAGTCATGATCTCCTGGTTTGTGGGTTCAAGCCCTGAGTTGGGCTCCATGCTGACAGCTTGGAGCCTGGTGCCTGCTTCAGATTCTATGTCTCCCTCTCTCTGTGCCTCTCCGCCACTTGCTCTCTTTCTCTTTCTCTCTCTCTCTCATATGAACATAAAATTTTTTTAAATAAAAATAAAGAGAATGATTGGTTCTCAACAATCAAGTTTATTTTTAAAGTTTTAGTCTAACATAAACAGATACTAGAGCCTATGATGATCATGTGGATATAATGTTACTTGACTAGAACTCATTACAAGATGCCAGGCACTCCGCAAAGTAATGTGAAGGGTACAGAAATGAATGAGACACTCCTTCCTCCATCTCCCTTCCTGCCCTTGGCTGTATCAGGATGACTGTATTTAACACCTCTTCTTACACCCTGCAGCTCACCCGGCACAGTACTAGGTCAATACCCCTAAAATACAGCTTCTGGAATATCACTTTCATGTTCAAAAACCACCAACTCCTCCACTTGGTGTTCAAGGTCCTCAACCTTAAGTTCCTTTTCCACCTTGTCTTCCCCTGCACACATTTTGCATCCAACTGTTTGTTGCCGTGGAAATAATATCTTTGCACTTGGGACAACCACCCTGTTGCACATGCTGTTCCCCTTGCCTGGAACATTCTGCAACAAAGAATCCTCCCTGTCTTTCTAAGTCCAAGCTTCAATCAGGCTTTTCATGCTGTTCCCCTTCCCCCCCATAAGGATCTCTCTAGCTTCCAACTTCCTTACAGTTGATCCTTGCTGCCATCTATTCCCCCACGTGGTAGAATCAGTATGAAATGTCAACTCGCCTTCCCCCCACCAAAAAAAAAGATATTTATTAAAAGAATAGTGGGACAACTACATTATTAAAGGATTGAACAATCAAATGGCAAAGGCAGAGGTGCAGCTTAAAGTCAAAAGCAATTGAAGCTGAGCACTTGAAGGACTCGCTGTCTTGCCTCTGCTTCTCTCGGGTAGACTGTTTCTTCGCAAACTGAGTGACTTCTCCCGGGTGGCAGGAAAGGGCATCCACCAGTTGCTGAATGTCCCATCTAGTAATGCCTTCTTCCCCTGGACTAGAAAGCTTGTTTTTTATACTCTAGTTATAAAGATACTAGGGAAGGATTCAAACTGCCTTGACATAGGCCAGGTACCCAGTCCTGAGTCACTCAGCTGTGGCTAAGGGTAGTGTTATTTAGTGCATATGTGGCTGCTGGGAAACCAGCTCCTGTATCTCCAGGACTGATCACAGAGGAAAAGAAATATTTAGGAATAAGACAATAATCCTACAAGGTGTCTTGTACTCTTCACACCTTGACTTCCCAATGTTAATTGCTGTGAGTATGTGTGCGTGTCTGCATGCATGTGCATGCACACATGCACGCACACGCGTGCGCACGCACACACACATAGTTTTCAGGGGACCTGAGTGCCATAGTCAAAAATGAGGACAGAGTTCTCACCAAAGTAACCACAGACATGTCCTCTGGAATTGGGATAGTATCAGAATGTCCCTCAATGCCCCAGGACTGTGACTTGTGATGCCATGTGTCAGTTTCTTCAGACCTAGCACTCTGGAGTAAGGCTTTTAGATTCCTAATAACCACTACTGCACTCCTGTTCTCTTGGTCTCTGAACTCCTATTGCTACAGGACTTGAGGTCTTATCGAGTGAGCCAAACTGGGGTATGGTCTCTAGCCCCATACTATTCAGAGTTGCTAGGTATGTTCCGTTTATCTCCAGGTCTACTCTCCAAGCTGCTCTGTGCCTTGCAAAGCTGACGTGGGTAGATCACATGAAAGGGTTGACTTTCCCTCTAGCTTCTAGTTTAGTATAGCTGCTAGGGAGTCCCTGCAGGAAAGACAAGATAGAGGGAGAGTAAAGTCAGAGGCTTTATCTTCCCGGTTTCCTCCCTGTGGGGTTGCCACAGGCTGACTGCCTCAGTGAAGCTCACGGTTCTTCTCTGTCCACATAGCCTCTCTCTCTCCAAGTTCCCTTAAACTCTCTCAGTTGTGTTCTCTACCTCCCAATCCTTGTCTTGGGTCAGGACATGTAACAAATCTAGAATACTAGAAGTAGCCTTTGGGCATTCAGCTCAAGACAGTAGGACCCTCTTTGAGAATAATTCATTGGGATTAGGCAATGGGAGTTTCATGTTGTCGATACAAAAGGGCTGCTTGCCTCACTTCTCTACCAAAGGATATGAAGATTTTACTGTTTGCTCCTCACTCACCATCACCACTTTATTCTCTTTGAGGAGAACATGGAAGAACTGACTGACTAGCCAGTGGCTCAGGAGACTCCTGGGATCCTGAGGTACGATCCTGGGACCAAGGAAATCAATAGAGGAGTATTGGCTAGAGTAGAAGCAGGGATCTAAGACAAGGGATAGTTTCCCAGTATACTGCAAGAGGACTGAGCATAAGAGACTGCCCACGAGACCCAGAACATAGGACTTGGGACCACAAAGGAGCCTGGAAGGAATTGGATAAAACAGGAACCACTCACAAATCCTCCCTCCCACCGTGGACCAGCAATGGACTCAAGAATGGCACTCAAATCTGAAGTAAAGAACTCCCGAATATTCTTCTGGAATCTGAAGTATGTATAATCTGCTGGGACCTAAGATTGTTTAATAATGTAGTGTCTCAGTCTTCCCTTCCCTTATGAAGGAACTAGTCCTCATTATGTTGAGTCCAGGGGTCAAGGGAGTCATTTCCCAGAGCCATAGCTGCTGGTCTTCTAGACAGGCAGTCTTCCACGATTATGCTGCCTAGTCATCTGGGTCACTAAAATAGACAGATAGATAAATGAATAAATAAGAGAGAGAGAAGGGGGGCTTTTAAAACCAAATCTTTTTGAATTAGGTTTCATTTCACATAAATGCTAGTAGAACATAACAGTAAGACAGTGAAATTGAGACAGAATTGCATTTTTCTCTGTAAAGACCACTGCCCTAGAGGGAATAAATAAATTAACAATAAACAGGCCAGCAGTAGGCATGGCACTCTCTTGAAAGCTAGGAGGATATATATTCCTTTGCTCTTGCTGCTGTGACAAATGATCACCAATTTAGTGTCTTAAAGCAACACAAATCTGTTATGTCTTAGTTCCGTAGGTAAAATGGGCTCGCTTAGCACCTCTGCTCTTGGGTCTCAAGGCCCAAATCAAAGTGTTGGCCAGCTTCAGCGATTCTGTGAAGGCTCAGGAAAGAATGTGCTTCCAGCCCCGTTCAGGTTGTCCTCAGAATTCAGTTACTTTTGGTTGTAGGACTGAGGTCCCTGTATCACTGATGACTGTCAGCAGGAGGCTGCTCTCAGCTTCTAGAGACTTGATCACAGTTCTCTTCATCGTTAATGCGAGCAACAGTGAGTAACATGCTTTTGTGCTTCAAATCCCTCTGTCTTCCTTGGTCATATTCTTTTGTCTCCAGCTGGAGAAAGTTCACTGCTTTTATAGGCTTGTGTGATTAGAGCATCCCCACCTAAATAATCCAGAATAATCTCTCTATTGTAAAGTCTGTAACCTAAATTATGTCTGTAAAATCCCTTTTGCCATGTAGTGTAACATATTCACAGCTTCTAAGGATTAGCGTGTGGACATCCCTAGGAGTCATTCTCCCTACTGTGCAGAAGACACTGAAGCTATGTCATGGCCAAGTGCAGAGAGGAAGTTTAGACCAAGACAGATGCCATTTTCATGTTGTTTTTGTTTTGCTTTGTTTTGTTATCTTGCTTAAAGTACTTGGAAAACGCTATGAAAATACATGTTCATTTCAATATACTTTTCTGATTATATATATAACTATGTGATATTCATAGAATACACATATAGTCAAGACGTAGGAATTGCGTATTTACCTCACTCAATTTATGAAAAATAACTATCATATAACAATAACCTAGCTAGTCCTCCTTATCAAGTTAATCAATCAAATCAGACTGTCAGGAGAAAACAACAACTCTGACTCAATTTTTTTACCCAAATTAAAGCATTAATGTACACAATCTGCTGAAAAAGACAGATCACAATGGTAAACTTATACTACTATACAATAAACTACTAACAGTTGTCAAGATTAAAATTATGCAGATTCTAATGTCATTAATTTATGGATTTTTATAAGTTATAAAGCCAAGCGTAAGTCAATTTGCTGTTTTTCATTAACTCGTAATAGTTCAAAATTTAATGTATAGTTAAAAATAAGCAGCCCTTTGTGAAGGGAGCCTAGGAGAAAAAGCAGGTGGGTGTGCCTGTGTATACTAAATGCAGATATTTGGCTTTGGGGAATGTCATGGAGGGAATTACCTTGACGTATGGTAGTTTCCAAAGTGCTCTCAGGCAAACTATTTCAAAGATCACAGAACACAAAGTTTGGCCAACCAAATTAAAATACTTGAATCACACAAAGCTGTCATTGCATCAGCTTAATACACAAAGAGAAGCAAGAAAAAGACATGGGGTAGGCTAACACTTAGCATGGGGTACAAACAGATAGAACCAAAGCAACTTTTCCAGCAGGCACCTTAGACATGGTGCTTAAGGGCTTTTGGGGCCCACAAAACTGTTGTAATTTCTTTTAAAATCAGAAGAAGAAGAAGAAGAAGAAGAAGAAGAAGAAGAAGAAGAAGAAGAAGAGGAAGAGGAAGAAGAAAAGAGTATATTCCAACCTGGATTATATTAATCTTTCTTTCAGTGCAGTGGTAAAACAGAAGTCTAATATTTCTTGACACAGGAAGGGGCCCAGGAAGAATGGCTCAAGTGTCCTGTAGCCCAGGATGGGAACACAACACAGCCTAAATCTTAGCAGACAGAAAGTGCCTGGAGCGAATACAAACACCAGCTCCACCAAGAAACTCAGAACACGGATGCCTGGCCGCGGCAACAGCCTGGCAATTAGCCTGTTCAATGACTCTGGGTTGTGAGTGAGTTCCTTGGGCAGAGCACATGTGGGACCAGAACAGGACCATACTGGGATCCTCCAGTGGATGGCCAATTTCAAGATGCCCAGAAGTGGCATCCTCGTATTTATAATTTGGTCTTCCCAGGTCTTTGTATCCACAAGTAATATTTGTTCTGTCCAACATTCCATTTATTCCAGCTTCAACATGCCTTACACATTACTTACTATCTGTATTTAACACACTTATCAATTCTGCCTGTGCCTCACAAGCTCTTTGCCCATTATCTATCCCAAATGTGTCCTATCAATTTGGCCAGTATCTCGTAAGCTACTACCAGCTTTCTTTCTTTGCTTTATACACTCTTTGTGGGTTTCATCCATCCCTTTTGTTGTCTCACCTTTCATAGAAAAACTGAATATTCTCAAATAATATAGAGAACACACGTCAGGAAAAATGAAATAAGAATAATGTATGAGATTAAGAGATAGCACCATTAATATCATCAGACATTGTGTGGACATGATTTAAGTAAAGAAAAAGTTCAGTTCCACAAAAGACCATGGAGTTCTTCAACTTTTCACCAATGCTTCCGCCATCATGTTTCTACTTTTTATCAGGAGGTGGACAAAATTAAACATTTTATAAGGTGAAATAAGACAAGCATGTCAGGATTACAATGCAGATGTAAACTAAAAGGAGACACACACAAGTTTTATCCACAGGCTTTATCCAAGGTAACATGAAAATCTGATAGCTCCTGAAAATATTTCAGTTACTTTTTTTTTTAATTAACCATCACTAATCTCTTCTCAAGAGCTATGCATTTCTCAATAACAGGGATAAAAGAGCACATAATTAAATGAAAGTCAGGCCCATGGCCTACAGTTAATGTACTTCTGATTTCAGAATACAACAGGAGGGGCCCAAATATCCCCCATTTCCAATGCTATGTCTCATCTTTAATAGAAATATACATAAGACATAAGAAGAGAGGAAGATTTGGGGGGTCATTAATTTCAACTGAAAGACTCTTCCTTCAAGTCCCCAGTTCAAACTGACTGTGCCCTGGCCCACGGCTGGAGAGGAGCGAGATGTATAACTGAAAGCAATGGGTCACAGTAAGAACTGGAAAAGGTAAAGGGTTTATCTTTCTTAGATGCAGCGGAAGATGGGTTAGGGAAAGGGGAAAATGGGAAAGAACAGCTTTCTCATGCCAGGAAAGAGATACCCAGGGATCTGAGTGTCCCAATTTGAAGGCACTGGTCTGTACCACAAAATTCAACTGATAGTTGTGTATTAATACCATTATCGTAAAATATTTTAATCTGATGAAACTTTAAGAATTCTAAGAATCACTTTCTATATGCCATCCCCCATCCTGCTTCCCATATAATAGGGGCTCAGTGATACCTGCTCACTGTTCACTCAGTTTTTCAGACATGCATGCACACGTTTGCCAACAGCCAATTATGTGTCAGATGCTAGAATGGCAAGCCAATGAGCGTTCACTATCACTCTGTGACAGGCACTGTACTAGACACAGGAGATAATAAACAAAACTGTGTTCTTGATAAGTTAATTGATGAGCACTTCTTTATGTATTTCTAGACAAAATTCCTGGTCCTCGTTATTTAAAAATCTCTGATTCCAGTTTCACTACCACGTTTTTTGGTTTAGTTTTGTTTTTTTAGTTTTATTTATTTATTTTTAGCAATCTTATTTTTAATTTTTTTTATGTTTTATTTATTTCTAGGAGAGAGAGAGAGACAGCGTGAGCGGGGGAGGGTCAGAGAGAGAGGGAGTCACAGACTCTGAAACAGGCTCCAGGCTCTGAGCTGGCAGTCAGCACAGAACCCGACGCAGGGCTCGAACCCACGAACCACGAGATCATGACCTAAGTGAAAGTCGGACGCTTAACCAATTGAGCCACCCAGGCGCCCCTTTATTTATTTATTTTGAGAGAAACAGAGACAGCACAACTGGAGAAGGGACAGAGAGAGGGGGAGAAAGAGAATCCCAAGCAGGCTCTGGGCTGCCTGTGCAGAGCCCAAGCGGGGCTTGAACTCACAAAACAGGGAGATCGTGACCTGAGCTGAAATTAAGAGTCAGACACTTAACCGACTGAGCCACCCAGGCACCCCTCTCACTACCACTTTTATGCTTTATATCTATAAATGGAAGAGACATAAATGTGAAACCACGCGGGTTCACAGGCCACCCCAAAAGAGGCGATGGGCCGGATTTGGCCCTTGGGCCATAATTTGTTGACCCCTGACTTTAAAAAAGTAGAAAGAGAAAGAAATCCTGGGAACACATTTTCCACAGCAAAAATTATTTGTACTGATCTACCATGACTAGTTTGGCAACATTGTCTGAAGAGAAAGGAAAGAATAAGTTATGATTTGGGGTTTATCAGAGAAGAAGTTGTGGATAGGAGCAGCGTTCTTGAGCCACCTGTGCAGATCACACATTGTACAAGAAAATGGGACAATGTAGCTAAACAAGGTAATCAGGCAATGGATTGTGGGGGAGTTGGGGAGGGAGGGTTAATACCTATGCAGAAACCAGACTCCTTTCTTTTAATAGCCTGAGTGAAGAATGGCTACCATTAAGGCAACTATGGCACAAAATTAATCCTTGAAAATGGTTTAAAATTCGTTCTTCTCTGACATGACAGTACTGCAGAAGGGATTGTTTTGCATTGATTCCTTCGGTAGGAAAACCCACATATCTCTGAATAATGTGCCATCGTTGCTCTATCTGGATTTGGGAGTTTTAGGCATTATCTTCCGACTTCCTGGACATGAAAAATAAGTCTCCTCCTTTCCTCCCCTTCTCTCACCAATACTGCGCACATTTCCGTCCTCATCTCCTTTTGTCCAACATGGTCGTGTCGGTGCCTATAAAATCATGACTCTATACGCTCTTTATAAGCAAGGCATATAACAAACTATAACTCTTTCCTCTTGGGAAACATGTATCTTGCCTTTTCTGGAGTGAATTATTGTTCACACCTCTTAATTTCTGTATTCTCATCAGTAATTCAAACTTGAATTTTCTGGCTGAGCCTTAAGTCCCCTGAATAGCATTCATATCAGATACGCTACCAGTTTCAGCTCACGGCGGAAGCCTCTTCGAGCCCTCAGACCTGCCCGAGCAAGACCAGTGGTCACAGTTCTAGCCGTGACCCTCACTGTTCATCCTGAGGACCTCACATGGCTTTACTGCCATGTGGCCACTCCCAGGTTCAATGCTGCGTGTGTATCAGAGTAAAAAGTTCCGGCAAACACAAACCTTGACCTTTCAAGCTTTTATGCAATACAGTTGTATCTTCATGGTTTAACAGTCAGGTCGCATAGTCGCTCAGTTGTGGCCACACGTCTGGTGCATGGGCCTGTACTCTTCAGCTACACTGTCTCTCGCACATGCCTCCAGAGTTGTCCACGAAGGGGAATAGAGAGCTGGAGGAATGTATATGGGATTACTCAGGGCCAGGCCTGGAAATGATTCACATTCCCTCTACCTGCCTCCCAATGGCCAGAACTCAGTCACAGGACCCCTGACCTGGGACTACGGGGGAAGGTAGGGAGGGGGTCATGGCAGGTAGACTTCTTGTGCACCAGGAAGAAGTGATGGTAAGGGAAATGCCTAGCCTTATGTCTGCCAAGTGTGCCCATCTGAGCACCAGACCATTTTGGTGTTCTTCCAACAGGCAGTATTGGAAGCAATACCCTCCACTGCTTCTGGCCCTGGTTCATGGTCTCGCAACTACGAAGTCAAAACACAAATCACTGGTTGTAGAAACACCAAAATCAAAGGGTAGCTTGGAGACAAAAGGTACTTCTCCCAAAAAAGTTGAAGAACAGCGGACTTCAGGCCATCGCTGTCCTGGAGCAATTCTAAAATCCCTCTGGGCGCTCGAAGGCCCCCAGCTCGGGAGGGCAAATTTCTGGATTGGGTCCTGCTGCTGCCTCTGGAAGGAACTGTGGCTACTCTCTGTGACCCTTTCCTCTGCTCTTTCAAAGACTCCGATTTTTATTTTCCTTGGTCCCGTCTGACCAGAGTGCAGGCGAGCATGTCCCTCCAGGAGGAAAGTATATACAGTCTTTGTGGTCTCTTTTCTGATTGTGGAGGTTGGGCTGCAGGGATCGTTTTCAAACAGTTCAAGATTTTTTTTTTTTTTTTGGCTGGAGGGGTGCCGGGGTGGGGGGGCAGGGGTGACAGCGGGGGTGGGTAATCAAATCCCTGGTTCCTTTGGCAATACAGTTTCCTCAGAAGCCTGAGTTTCTGAGGTTTTCACCTTCAATCAGATTGATAGGCAACAAGTGTACCCAAAAGTCTTTTCTAAACATAGTGGTGCCGCCAAATAGAGGTCCTTCTCATTGCCTCCTCCTCTCTCCCTCCCTATTCCTCTCCAAGTTCAATGACAACCATACTGAGGCCATCAGGTTCCAGTGAGACCATCATGCCCAAGTCATTTTATCTGAGAAGTTTCACTGTAAAGCTTTCTGGGCCCAAATTTCTGTACCCTTTTTATTCCTTGTGATTTCTCCCTACACACCAGTCAATTACTTCCAAAGGCTACCTATCACTTGCAACTCCTTACCAAATGAATCCCAGAGTGGCCGATCCCACCAGCACTTTGATTCTTTGTAATCTGTTCTTCTTGGGCCACTAGCTCCCACATCACAGCAAGTAATTCTTTTATCAAATGTTTGTCACTGTCAAACTTGGGTCCCCATTTCTTTTTTTTTTTTTTTAATATTTTTATTTATTTCTAGGAGAGACAGAGACAGCATGAACAGGGGAGGGTCAGAGAGAGAGGGAGACACAGACTCTGAAATAGGCTCCAGGCTCTGAGCTGGCAGTCAGCACAGAGCCTGACGCGGGGTTCGAACCCACGAACCGCGAGATCATGACCTAAGCGAAAGTTGGACGCTTAACCGACTAAGCCACCTAGGCGCCCCTTGGGTCCCCATTTCTTAATTTCTTATATTAGTTCCTTTGGTACTCACCAGTGAACACTAAGCAAATGCCACTGTTAAATCAACACCCACTTTCTATGAGTGAAAATGCAACACTGGTTGCTACAAAGACAAACCCTAAATCTCAATGATTCAACAAGTCTTTATTTCTTGCTCATGTCACAGTCCAATGCAAATCAGTTGGCTTTCCGCCTCTTAGAGAGCCATGTGGAACACAAGGCCTCAGGGTGACCATGGAAGAGAAGGAGAAGACAGAAGATCATTCTGATATTTTTATATCCAGACCTGATGGGCCAGACCTGATTTGAAGGGGGGGTGGGGGGCGGGTAACCACATTACTTCCTCCCACATTCCACTGGGCAGAATTCAGTCATACAGCTCCAACAGAGCTAACTGCAAGGCATGCTGGGATATGTAGTCTTCCTGTGTGCTGGGAAAAGGGAATCCATAGCATTGCCTCTAACACAACATGTCCTCTGATTTCTTGATGCTTTTTTTCCTCTCAAGAAGGGCTATAGAGAGAGGTAAAATTTTGAGCACCTCGCATGTCTGAAAATTCATCTATTCTAGCTTCACATTCATTAATAGCATGTCTGGGTACAACATTTTTTATTCGAAATTTTATTTCCTTCAGAATTTTATAGCTATTACTCCAATATGTTCTAGTGTCCAGTACAGCTGTTCCTTTTAAGAAGGGTCTGGTCATTGTGATTCTTGTGCATGGGATGTGCTTTTCATTTGGGGGGTTTTGTTATTATTATTGCTTCTCTCTCTCTCTCTCTCTCTCTGTGTGTGTGTGTGTGTGTTGGGGGGGGGGGTGGGTCCTTCTTTCTCTCCCTAGAAGTTTATAGAATTTTTCTCCAATACTTCAGTGACTTCAGATAAATTATACATGGGTTGCATCATTATGGCTCTATCATCATTTATATTTTTGGATACTGTGAGCTTTTCAATCTGGCAACTCAGGTCTTTCCATTTGGTGAACTTTTCTTGACATTATTTAGTGGATTATATTCTAATACTCTCCTTGTTACTGTACTTTCTGAACGCCTGATATTCAGATATTAAACCATCTGGGATGATTTTATTATTTTATTTTATTTCCTATTTTTTATATTTTTGCCATTTTGTTCCATTTTCTGAAGAGGTTTTTTTCAATGTTCTCTTCTGGCCCTTTATTGGATTTTTTTTCTTCAACATTAAATTTTTTCTTTTCAGAAGTCTTTTATACTCTCAGAATACTATTTTATGGAAGTTTGTTCTTCATGCCTGGGTGCTGGATCCTTTCTAAAAACTTTCTTTGAGCATATTATTTGGTTGAAGTTTTTATCACTCACAACTGATTTCTTCCAGAATGCTTTTTTTCTTATTGCTTTTATCATTGCAAGTCTACTTCAAACTTCTGCTAATTTTTGGTTGTCTGTTCTTGTGGACTAGAGGCTCTGAGCAGATGAGGGGGTCATGTTGATTATGAAGATCCAAATATATTTTCCAGAGAAGATCTTCCAATTTTCTGCCTGGATGCCAGTGGTCCTAAACAGAACTCAGAAAAAAAAAAAAAAAAAAAAAAAAAAGATGGAACTAGAAGTTGGGTCTCTGTTTTCCACAGACATATTTCAGCTAGACCTCCAGATTTTCAGTTTGGCACCCTGCCCTCAAGTATGCCTGGATGCTCCTGGTCCGTAGACCCTTTTTTCCCCTTAATGCATAATAAGCTTAGCATCTTTCCTAGGTGAAGGAAGAGTTGTTGCCCCATAAGTACGGAGAAAGAGAAAGAATCTAGGGATCTCATCACTTCATAAACAGCACTCAACCCTCTTATAGGAAATACATACTTCCAGAAGCCCCTGAACTGCCACCCTCCTCCAAATTTCAGAGCTTTTTGAGGTTTTTATGGTTAGACCAGGATGATTCTTCCCTTTCCCCACTGGTATCTGATAAGCCAGCTCCTGCCTATCCATTTTATTTTCCAGTTTCAGAAATTTCATTACTCTGGGTGAGCTGCTTTCATACCAAGGAGGCAAAGATTCTTTGAAGCAAGACGTATGGCCACCCAAGGTCTTTACCACTTCCCTTTGAGATAATACTTTTTGTATGCAGGGCCCCCAAATTCCCTTTCCTACTAGTCCATGAACCTGCAAGAGTTTCTTTCTCCATCAATCCCGTAGGCTGAATCTCCAATGTGCGCATCCTAGACCTGAGGGATGGTCAAGAAAGGGCTCTATTCAACGGCTGAGAATGGAGCTGGACACGTACCGCCACACTCATGTGTGCGCCCCACTGCCTCTTCCCAAAACCAGTCATGGCTTGGACAAAAGTAAAATGAATTTTGAAATTGCACTCTGCAGTTGTGTGGTATAAATATACATATATATGTTCAATGTTGTCATTACGAGGGTACATTTGTCAAGGTAAGAGGCTAAACTCTAAGAGATTGTTAGCTTGACATATAACTATTAAATATATAAACATATGGCATGGCCTTTTACTCAGATTCGTACTCGTGGGCCTCTGCAAGTATTAGGGATGGCATGCCCCCCATCTTGATAGATGTGTGCCCCTTAAAAGGTACTCTAAGTTTTTAGAGGTGTTTCAGGAAGGAGCAACATTAGACACATGTGTCCAATCCGCCATCTTGAACAAAAAGTGCTTCCCTGCTTCCCTCCCTTCTTGAGCCGTTTCCCTCAAGGGCTCAAGCCGTTTCCCTTGAGGCCTGATGCTCCCACACAGGCAATAGCTCCTCCTTCCTTTTTTGATCTTTCTTTTTTTGTCTTTCTCAGCATCAATGCTTCTCACCAAAGAAGGAGATTCATAAGGAATACTTATTCCTGTGTGCTTTTGTACAAGAATTCTTCTACAGCCCTTTCTCTTATACATATTTTCCCCCTCAGGTCAATTCAATTTCTTATGAAGTTTCTGAGGTCTTCTCATTTATTTTCACTCTATCTTATCATCCTGCTTCATTAATCCTTGGGCCCCATACAGTGTTTAGCAGAATTCCTTGCTCAGAGTAGAAACTTAATGAATATTTGTTCACAACTGCACTGCACTGAATTGTAAGCTCTTAAAAATCTATGCCAAGGGATGTTATTTTTGAGATGTCACTGAATGCCTCCCCTTTGCTGATAGAAAACAAGGTGACACTGTAACCAGACTACTAAAAGCATGATTATATTTTCATGTTTCCTGCCAAAGGAGTGGTTAATTGTACTGATTTGATGATTTCAGAATTGTATGAGATAGTCTCTGAAGCACATAATCAAAAGAGCTGAAATTCTGCTTCTGTATGAACTTATGATTCCTGGTGGTAAGGACCACCCAATAGAAAAATTTCTGAAGTTCTCCAAACATATACCTTTGCATATGTCCCTACTTATTGCTACTCTGATCGAAGCGACATCAAGGCATACTGTGTACCTCAGCTATGGACTAGTGGGAACAGAGAGGAAGCAAGCATTGTGAAAATGAAAGGAACT